ATAGATAGATAGATAGATAGATAGATAGATAGATAGATAGATAGATAAATGATAGATAGATAGACAGAGACAGACAGATGATAGATAGAAGAGATAGAAGACAGACAGAAACAAACAAACAAATAATAGACAGATAGATGGAGGGGGAGAAAGAGGGAGAAAGACAGATGAAGATAAATAGTTTGGCTTCAGGACACCATCAGCCACTGATTTATTTAACTGGAAGTCTTATGAATTGAATTTGGAATAATCTGGCTTGCAAAATAAATATTGTACTATGTGCTATGGTCCCTCTTAAAGCACCAATGGCACTTACAGAATTTAAGGTAAGGAGGAAAAAAAGCATGCATCAGAAAAAATAGACAGGGAAATGGATATAAATTCTCATGCAGTTTTTAAAATTATCTCAGACCACTAGTGGGATAAGATGAAGTAAAATAAACATGGACAAAATGATAAATGAAGAGTAATGAAATTGATAAATTTATTTATCTTAATTTCTACCTTACTGTCTGTAGCTCTTATTTTAAAAGTAAATTATTTTGAAATTAATTTCCTTTTGCAATTTTTTTTCAGGTTCTTATGTTTTGGGGATATATGGAGGATACAGTGTTTGTGACTGTATGTGTATGCTTCTGTGTATGGGTTTGTGTGTATTTTCAAGTACTCATAAAATGATGGAAATATAGTTATAACTCCTTGAGTATAATGCATTTAGCACCAACAATCAGTTTCATCACAAGCAACATAGGTGGAGGCAAGGGGAAGAGAAACAGTACTGATTAAAATGTCTAAGTATATCCATCCACATTGTATGACTGCAGCATGACCCTTTTCAGCTTCTCTACTAGGCCCCCATTCATATCATTATTTTGATTATTATTACTCTGTTGTTTTGCATGTACAGTAAGAGCTTCTGCACCAGAGACAAATTCCTTTTGTGTCTAATCACACTTGGCCAAATAATTATGTTCTATTCTGTTCCATTCAATTCCATTCCCAGTGATATCTGTGATTCAAAATCCTCTCTTGGAGCATATAAAGGATATGACGGAATTTATGAATCTTTGAAGACTCAGATCGATGTAATACGCTATTTTAGGCCATCAAATCTGAATCTTATTTTAAATGTCACAATGACAACTCAACCTCCCAATTGTTGGCCAAATGATTAGTTAGCCCTGAATTTCTTTGAATGAAAAAAATAAAAGTGTGTCTCTCTCTGTGTGTGTATGTGTGTGTGTGAGAGAGAGAGAGAGAAAGAGAGAGAGATGCTAAAATCTAAAATGCAACTTTGATATGTTTCCCAAAATAGGAAAGCATCTAAAAAAGAATATCAAAATATCATTCTAATGAAAATGAGGAAAATATTTGATTTCCCCCTCCTCAGTTTTATTACCAACTGTAATTGAAATATCCTTTCATACTAAAGAGCTGTCATTTCTACACAATTTGCTCTTATTTATTATTACTATCATAATGAACTGGAGCTAGGGAAGAAAAATCCCATTAAATATTGTATAATGTAAAGATTCTACATGTATGATAATTCTTTTAACAAATAGAGGCCTGACACAAAACAAGATATACTGTATCATCTAAGGATGCAGTATTCCAGCACAGAATTGTTAGTGCTGCCTGAAATTTTAATTAAAAACAAATATATATATTGCATTACTAATTTCAACATGGTATGTATCTAAACCATAAGTTTTGCTGCATAGGTAGTCCTTGACTTACAACAACAGTTCATTTAATGACTGTTCAAAGTTACAATGGCACTGAAAAAAGTAACTTATGACTATTTTTCACACTTATGAACATTGAAGCATCCTCATGGTCATGTGATCAAAATTCAGATGCTTAGCAATTGACTCATATTTATGACGGTTGCAGTGTCCCGGGTTCAGGTGAGAACTGTTTGCAAACTTCTGATGAACCAAGTCAATGGAGAAACCACATTCACTTAAAAATCATGTGATTCACATAACAACTGTGGCAAGAAATGTCTCATTTAGCAACATAAATTTTGGGCTCAATTGCAGTCGTTTGTTGAGGATTACCTGTAGTCATTTGCTTGTTGTGCCTCTTCATCTCTTAATCCCACTCAGGTTGCAAAAAAACCTTACTTGCATGCAAAGTTTACAAAAGTAAAGCTAGAAGCTTAAGATATATCATAACTCTAAAAATATTTCACCTAGAGTAAGCTCCATTAAAGAATGTTGCATTTCCTCAAAGATGAGGAAGAAAACACATATCATCAGATGGAAGAGAAAAAAAATTGTGCAAAGATATTTTGGTGAAAATATCTGTATAAAGAAGAAGAAATCTGGGAGGAAAACATAATACATTATTTAGAGGAAAATAGCTTGGGTTCAATTTCTGAAGAAAAGAGAGAAATATTAAATAAAAAAATAATGCCAGTAGAGTTGAAAAAAGCAATACAAAAACAGAAAAATAACAAAACTCCAGGACTGGATGGTCTCCCTAGTGAGTTATACAAAAATCTCTACAAAACATTTGAACCAATATTGCCCTCTATCACCTTTGCTATTTGTATTGACTTTGGAAGTGTTGAATAGAAATATTAGAGATGATAAAAGCATAAAAGGAATGAAAATTAAAAAGGAAGAATTTAAATTGCAAGCCTTTGCGGATGATCTGGCCTTTATTTTGGAAGACCCTCTAGAAACAGCTCCAAAATTATTGGAAAAGATAGAGACATATGGTGAGGTGGCTGGTTTGAAAATAAATAAAGATAAAACAAAGATTTTGACAAAGAATATGTTACTAAGACAAAGAGAAGAACTGGCAAACGTATTGAAAATTCAAGTCACGAACAAGGTCAAGTACTTGGGGATATATTTGATACCAAGATGTAGTACATTGAAAGAGAACAATTATATTAAACTCAGACAACACGTAGAGTTAGATTTGATGAAATGGGAAAATCTACAATTGTCATTAATAGGGAGAATCTCAACAATCAAGATGAATATTCTACCCAGAATCTTATACTTGTTTCAAACAATACCAATTTTGAAGATTTAAATAAAATTGTGTTGAAGTATATATGGCAAGGTAAGAAAGTGAGAATAAAGTTAAAACTTTTACAAGATGCCAGAATTAGAGGAGGTTTTGGTTTGCCTAATTGGGAGTTGTACTATCAAGCTACAAATTTGATGTGGGCCAAGGAATGGATAACACTAAGAAAGACTAGATTGTTGACATTAGAAGGTCATGATTTGTTGTTGGGCTGGCATGCTTTTCTATGGTACAAGGGAACTAAAACACAGGGGTATTTTAGAAGACATCATATACGGGAGTCTTTGTGGTTAAATTGGGAGAAGATTAAAAAACAATGTTATTTGAAAATTCCAGTTTGGTTATCGACCATTGAAGCATTTTCCTATCCTATAATTTATAAGAAGGAACAAACAGTTAGATATGGGGAAATACTGGATGAAAAGGGTGAACTTAAATCGATGCAAAACTTAGAGGAACAAGGTATAAAGATGAATTGGTTTTCATATGCGCAAATACATTCAAGGTATGATGAAGATTTTAAAACAGAGGGATTTTATGATAAATTGACTGATTTAGATAAGATTTTGACAGGTACTGATGAAAAGGTGATTAAAAAATTATACGGTTATTTACTGGAAATTAAACTAGAGGAAGAACAAGTTAAAGAAACTATGATTGCTCAGGGGAAGAATTTTGGATATGGGATTGATTTAGAGAAATGGCAAAAATTGTGGTCTCAAAATTATAAAATGACAATGTCAACAGCTTATAAAGAAAATTTGTATAAGATGTTTTACAGGTGGCAATTTCCCCCGACAAGAATAGCAAGAATGTTCAAGAATAAATCTGAAAAATGTTGGAAATGTCATCAGATACCTGGCTCATATTACCATATGTGGTGGACTTGTGAGGACGCTAGAAAATACTGGACTAAAATTCGCATGTGGTTGGAAAAAATGACGAAGAAACACATAGACTTGAAACCAGAGATCTTTTTATTGGGAATCTTACCTGATACATATAGTAAAGATTTGAAATACCTGATTGTAAATGTATTAACAGTGGCTAGGATTGTATTTACTAAAAACTGGAAAAATGAGAAGATACCATTGCAGGAAGAAATTATTAAGAAAATATTGGAATGTGCTGAAATGAGTAGATTGACCTTTGAAATTAGAGAACAAGAGGATAAACAATTCTATAAAATTTGGGACCTTTTCTATCAATGGTTGGATGATAAAATACAATAATAGAATATTTAGAATTTTAGATAATAATGAATATATAAAGAGATTTTTTTTCTTTTTTATTTGATACCATATTTATGAAATGTTTTCAGGATAGATTTGGTATGATTATATGATTTGTTATAAAATAAATTAAGTAAATTATAGTTATCTTGCAAAATATGAATGAATAAAATCATAGTCAAATGATTGTTTAATAGTGATACTAGGGTATATAATTTCTGATTGATAATATGACTTATTATGTAATGTAACTGTAATTGAGACTACAAAATGGATGGACAAAAATTGGTAAACCAACTGACACACTGTTTGTATATTTATGAAAGAAAGCTGGATGTTTTTATGTTTTGTTTGTTTTGTCTTGTTTTTAAAAACTAATAAAATTGTTTAAAAAAAACATTTGAACCAATATTATTAGAAGTATATAATGAGGCATTATCAGAAGCTAGACTTCAGAAGACCTGGTCCAAGGCATATATCACCTTAATTTCGAAAGATGGTACTGATCGACAATTAATTCAAAACTTGTTGAATATGGACTATAAAATATATGATAATACTAGCAGAGAGAATGAAACCTATCCTGAGTGAAATCATATATTCAGATCAGAATAGCTTCTTACCAAATAGGCAAATTAAGAATAATATTAGATTAGTGTAAAATACAATTGAATATTACGAAGCACACCCTGAAAAGCAAGTAGCCTTAATATTCTTGGATGCACAAAAGGCTTTTGAAAATCTTAATTGGCAGTTTATGTTGCAACAAATTTAAAAAAAATGAATTTCAGCACTAATATAGAAAAAATGTTGCAAGCAATATATTCTAGTTAAAGAGTGAGCATATTACTAAACGGGGACTGTACAGATGGGATAGCCAATGGAGTGAGACAAGGGTGTCCACTATCACCTCTGCTGTTTATTTTATCTGTAGAAGTATTACTAGCTGCAACCAGACAAAATTCAGAAATAAAAGGTATTAAAATCAGAAATGAAGAATACGAAGTCCAAGCTTTTGCGGATGACTTAGTATTCATAGCAGAAGACCCAATGAATATGGGACAAATACTGTTACAATAAATAGAAAAATTTGGAGAAGTAGCAGGACTTAAAATAAATAAAAATAAAAATAAAATGATGGTTAAAAATTGTACTACAAAACAGAAAACAGAATTAGAAAGTAAAATGGGATTGAAGATTGTAAAAAAGGTGAAATATTTGGGAATATGGTTATCCTCTAGATGTTCGTCAATTAAAGATGATAATTAGTCAAACAAATTAGAAAAGAATTGGAACTATGGGTAAAATTACAACTGTCATTACTAGGGAGAATAGCAGTATTAAAAATGAATATTCTACCAAAATTAATGTACTTATTCCAAATAATCCCGATAAAGTTAGGGAAACTCTTCTTTACAGAACTAAACAAAATGACAAGTAAATTTGTCTGGTTGGGCAGGAAACCACGTATTAAAATAAAACTATTACAAGATAACAGCAGAGGTGGTTTTGGATTACCAGAGTGGGAGCTTTATTACCAGGCAGCAATATTAAATCGGGTAAAAGATTGGGTTAAATTAAAAGACAAGATAATTTTATCATTAGAAGGTCATGACTTCCAGATAGGTTGGCATGCATTTCTGTGGGAGAAAAAAGTTAATGCAAACGCTTACTTTAACCAACATTTAATAAGAGATTCACTTATCCAAACATGGAGAAAGATTAAAAACAAACACTACATGAAGATACCACATTGGCTGTCAACCATGGAGGCCAAGATCCACCCGAATAGATTAGACATAAGAAAAATGATAAGTTATAATGACCTATTAGATAACCAAGGGAAACTAAAATCAAATCAAGAATTAAAAGAAAAGGGAATTATAATAGATTGGTGGACATATTTACAAATTCAAAATAGATACAAAAAAAGACATAGAAGAATTTGGATTTGATAAAGGGCAAAATCAACTAGCTAAAATCTTAATTGGACCAGAACAAAAATGTATATCTAAAGCATACAAATACTTATTAGACTTTAAAATGGAAGAAGAAAATGTGAAGAGTACCATGATAGCCTGGGCACAGAATTTTGGATACAACATAGACCTAGAAGAATGGGAGAAATTATGGAATGTAAATTACAAATTAACAATATCTTCATCATACAAAAAAAATCTGTATAAAATGTTTTACCGATGGTATCTGGCTAAAATATATCCTAACACAAGTCCAAAGTGTTGGAAATGCCAACAAGTTGATGGTACCTTCTATCATATGTGGTGGTTAGGCCCTGAGACCAAGACATATTGGACTAAAATTAAAAATTGGCTACAGGAAATTACCAAATTGAATCCAAACCAGAACTTTTCCTATTAGGAATTATTAAAGATCAATATAAAAAAATACATAATATTACATATTTTAACAACAGCCAGGATAGCTTTTGCACAAATGTGGAAAACTCCCAACACCCCTTGTGAGGAATTAGTCCAACAAAAAATAATGGAATGTGCCGAAATGGACATGCTCACATTAAAAATGAAAGAGAAAGAGGACTCCGAGTATTATTCAATTTGGCACAAATGGTACGAGTGGATAGCGAACAGATATAAGAAATAAGATGTGAAGACTAACTGTAAGAGAACTTAAGAAAATGACTTGTAAATATGTAAAATATATAAGAATATAGGATAGAACTAATTACTGATAAAGATAATGGCTATTGACAGATGTATATTAAATGTATTAAGACTTATACGCTAATAATATTTATAGATGTCAAAATGCTGTTGAAAATGGGATTATGATTTGAGTTGTATTGGTGGAAAACACAATAAAATATATTTAAAAAATAAAGAATGTTGCATTTATTGTTATCTAGTTAATTGGTTCTTGATACGCTTATTCTTAGACGTCTTGTGCACCCAAATGAGTAACTCAACATTTATCACAATAAAGTCACCATATAAATTCCAATTCAGGTGGTTCTCAACCTGTGATCAAAACTGGGACCAGAATTTCTATTGCTAAGCAAGGCAGTTGTTAAGTGAGGTGTCTCTGATTTATGACTTTTGCCGTGGGTGTTAAGTGAATCACTGCAGTTGTTAAGTGAATAATGCAATCATTAAATGAATCTGGTTTCCACATTGACTTCACATTTCAGAATCTGACTGCTGAGGTCACAAATGGTTATCACATGATCTTATGGGCATGATCCACAGAAATATATGCCAGTTGCCAAGTGCTCAAATTTTTATCACATTACCTTGGGGATGCTGTGATGGTCATAAATGTGAATGGCCAGTCATAAGTCACTTTTCCCCATGTCATTATAATAAAATAGAATAGAATTCTTTATTGGCCAAGTGTGATTGGACACACAAGGAATTTGTTTTTGGTACATATGCTCTCAGTGTACATAAAGAAACAATAAAATACATTCACCAAGAATCATAAGATACAACACTTAGTGATAGTCATAGGTTACTAATAAGCAATCAAATCATACTAGGAAACAAATAAAACAACATAAAGAAACAAAACAAGTAAGGATACAAGCAACACAGTTATAGTTATAAGTGGGAAGAGATAGATACTAGGAAGGATGAGAAGAATAATAGTAATACAGTTTTAGTAAATAGTTGGACAGTGTTGTGGGAGTTCGTTGTTTAGCAGAGTGATGGCATTCAGGGAAAAACTGTCCTTGTGTCTAATTGATCTGGTGTGCAGTGCTCTAGCTTCGTTTTGAGGGTAGACGTTGAAACAATTTATGTCCAGGATGTGAGGAGTCTGTAGATATTTTCACAGCCCTCTTTTTGACTCGTGCTGTATACAGGTCCTCAATGGAAGGCAGGTTGGTAGCAATTGTTTTTTGCAGTTCTAATTAACCGTTGAAGTCTATGTCTGTATTTTTTGGTTGCAGGTCCAAACCAGACAGTTACAGAGGTGCAAATGACAGACTCAATAATTCCTCTGTAGAACTGAATCAGCAGCTCTCTGGGTAGTTTGAGCTTTCTTAGTTGGTGTAGAAAGAACATTCTTTGTTGTGCTTTTTTGCTAACATTTTTGATGTTAGAAGTCCATTTTAAATCTTGAGATATGATAGAACCTAGAAGCTTGAAGATCTCTACTCTTGATACTCCATTGTCTAGTATTGTAAGAGATGGTTGTATAGGAGGATTTCTCCTAAAATTCACCACCATTTCTACTGTTTTGAGTATGTTTAGTTCAAGATCGTTCCAGTTGCACCACAGTTGCACCACAAGGGTAGTTGTTCAACCTCCAATGATTTAGATTCATAATTGTCTCGAATGAGACCAATCACTATTGTATCATCTGCAAACTTCAGTACTTTAACAGAGGGAACTTTTGAGATGCAGTCATTGGTATATAAAGAGAAGAGATGTGGAGAGAGCACACAGCCCTGGGGAGATCCTGTGCTAATTGTACAGGTATCTGATGTGATTTTGGCTAGATTCAGCTGTTGCTTGTTATCTGTTAGGAAGCTTATGATCGATTTACAGGTATGGTCAGGTACAGCTAGCTGATTTAGCTTAGTTAGAAAAATATCTAGAATGAATGCTGATTTGAAGTCTACAAAGACTTCTGATAACTTCAGATAACTTCAAATAATTTCAAATACTCACCAAACAAATGGTTGTATACTAAATAATTACCACCATATAAATGTACAAATTTATTAGAATGAAAAGTCCTTTGTGTCTTATGATTATCTCATTTTATTTTAAAAAGCTTACGGTCTACTTTTATCCATCTCACCTGTTAGAGTAGTCCTTTCTGAACTATTTCATCCATCCTTACAAGGTGATATAAAACTCAGTGCTCTACTAAATTAAATCTAACAGCTGTGCCATATCTCCTTTGCCACCCTGGTGCTCTTTTTCACTCTGTGCATACTTTCAAACTGTGTGACACAACACACTGTAAAAGGAAAATGGTAATTAAAAACAACATTTGTGCAAGTGAACTTGTCTGAAAAATGCTTTAGTTAACTAAAACAATAGAGATTGCCTTAATGTGTTAAACACAGAGAATGAATTAGACATATTCTGTTCTCTCAATAATCTGCATGTGTTTAAGAACAATAGATATCTAGGGCAAAGGAATAAGTAAGAGTACATTAATTTTCTCATTGCTGAGTCAGGACAATTGAATAAAAAAATTCCATACTAAGCAGTATTAATTTGATGACAATAAGCAAAATGGAAGCTAGGATATCCAAAGAGCTAAACGCTCTAAGTTTATATAAAATTGAGGGTGTAATAAAACTTTTATGTTTATTAAAGTCCAGAATAGATACTGGTAGCAGTGAATTTAGAAATTTCACTAACCTAATTCTGCATTTCCTTATTTTCAAAGCTTTATAAAATGATGAAAATAATTTTCGTTTTGCGCCCTTTTATTACTTTTAAGAAGTTTGGATTCATAATAGACATCTCTTTCTTAAAATTTATGAAACGGCCATGAAACCAGAGGTGGTATTCAGCAGGTTCTGACCAGTTCTGGAGAACCAGCAGCGGAAATTTTGAGTAGTTCAGAGAACCAGCAAATAACACCTCTGACTGGCCCCACCCCCATCTATTCTCGGCACCCCGAATCCCAGCTGATCGGCTGGGTCTTCTTTTGTTGCCCTTCATAGGAGAATGGAGCTGGAAAGCAGGTTGGTGGGGTGTGGAGGGAATTTTGCAGTAATCTTTTCCCAGGAGTGGGGAAGTAATTATTAAGTATGGGAAATAAGAGGCTGAACCAGGGCTTAGTGCAACAAGGTTTATTTACAAGGACTGAACGTGCTTGCTCAGCCTGGAACTGGCTCGCAGCGAACAGCGAAAGGGCTGGACCCAGCAGCCTGCTTTTATAGCAGGCTGCTGGGGAAACCCAGCCAATGAGAAGGGGCAGCTGCCCCTGCAGCGTGAATGGACCTGGGTGGGAACTTCTTCAAGGTCCAGGGACATAACACCCCTTCCCCCCAGATGCGAACACGCATAGTCCTTGAGGTATACGGGAGGTTTGTGCTGACGTCCAGAGCGGCGCAACTCTGGTGTGCTGTTTGGTGGATCAGAGTCCGTCGGTGACTGTTGGCTTGATGATGAGTCCCGAGTACCACCCTCGGTCGGAGCAGGTCCGGGGCTAGAAGGGCTGGACGCTGGGAGTGTCCTCACGCCGTCTGGCTCGGATGGGTTGGATGCTAGGTCGCCGCAGTCAGCATTTGGATTCTCTGGTCCGGCTGAAGGTGTTAGCAGGTCATCAGGGTAGATGTTGCTGCGTGGTAGTTGCAGCGGACTCTCACCGGTCTGTGCCCACGAGTCGCGGCTGACGAGGGTGCCCTGGCGTCTCCGAAGCTGGTCCAGATGTCGTCTCCAGACCCGGCCATCTTCCAGCTTAACCCGGTATGATCTGGGTCCTGTGATGGCTACGATTTCTCCCGGGATCCACAATGGGTCGCCAGCGAAGTTTCTCGCGAACACGGGTTCCTGCAAGACAAAATGCCTACTCCCCGATGTGGAAGCGAGAGGAGAGTCAGGGCAGTAATGTGGGTGAAGCCTGTCCAATACAGTTCGCAGGCGTCTGCCCATCAGAAGCTCGGCCGGGGACTTGTTGGTTACCGTGCAAGGGGTTGAATGCTGGCTTAACAGGAAACAGGATAGTTTGTGGTGCCAGTCATCCTTGTTGAACCTGGCCAGGGCTTCTTTAGTGGTCCTAACAGCTCTCTCTGCCAGCCCGTTACTGGCAGGATGAAAGGGGGCCGTGAAGATGTGACGAATGCCCAGGTTGGCCGTAAAACGACTGAATTCGGTTGACGCGAATTGGGGACCATTGTCGGAAACAATGGAGTCTGGTAGACCGTGCGTAACGAACAGGCGAGTCAATGCCTTGATGACTGCTTGTGAAGTGGTCGTGGATAGTTGTGCCACATCAATCCACTTTGAGTAAGAGTCTACGACCACGAGGAACATTTTGCCATGCAATGGGCCCGCAAGATCGATGTGAATCCTGGACCAGGGTGCGTTGGCACTTTCCCACTTGGTGGGGGTGGCAATTGGAGGGGATGGACGGGAAACCTGGCAGGGATGGCAGGAGCTTACCCATTTGTTGATGTCCTCGTCGAGGCCGGGCCACCAAATGTAGCTTCGCGCCAACGCCTTCATTCTGACGATGCCCGGGTGGCCCTCGTGCAACGCCTCCAGCACTCGGGTACGCAGAGATGTCAGGATGACCACTCGAGTGCCCCACAGCAGGCAGCCCTGTAAGCTCGACAGTTCCTGTAAGCGGGTCTTAAATGGAGTGAATTTAGCTTCAATGTCACTGCCTGGCCACCCCCTCCTCACCCAGTCCAGTACCTGGGCGATCGTTTTGTCCGCTTTGGATTTATTGGCAATATCAAGGGCAGTGATTGGGAGGTCCAGTTGGGTGACTTCAAAAATGGCGTTGACCGGGGCAGGGTCTTCAGCTGGGGCAGGCAGGGGGCAGCGGCTGAGGGCGTCTGCGTGGGACAATGTTTTACCTGGGCGGTGCACGAGTCTATACGAGTATGCTGCTAGGAAAAGGGTCCATCTGGTCATTCTGGGGGACAGAATTTGAGGGGTCTGCTTGTCACCAGCTAGTAACCCTAAGAGCGGTTTGTGGTCCGTGACTAGCTCGAAAAAGTGGCCAAAGAGAAATTCGTGAAATTTCTTCACCGCTGCAACAGCTGCCAAGGCTTCTTTATCGATCTGACTGTAATTGCGCTCTGTTGCAGAGAGCGTCCTGGAAAAAAAGCGATAGGGGCCTCGGAGCCGTTGGGGAGCCTGTGGCTTAAGACTGCCCCAATTCCGAAGGGAGATGCGTCTGCTGCCAGTACTAATGGAAGGTTGGGGTCAAACTGGATAAGCACTGCCTCTGATGTGAGTAGCGACTTGACTGTGCGGAAAGCGGAGTCTTCTTTGTGTCCCCAATGCCAAACCGTTTTTTTATCCAGAAGTCTGTGGAGGGGTTCTGCCACAGAGGCTTTATGGGGCAGGAACGACGCGTAAAAGTTCAAGAGCCCCAAAAAGGCCTGCAGTTCCGCTTTGGAGGTTGGAGTGGGTGCCTCGTGTATTGCCTTAACCTTGGACTCCAGGGGGTGAATGCCTGAGGCGTCAATTTTATAACCCAGAAAGTCCACCTGTCTAGTGGCAATGGCACATTTTTCTTTTTTTAACTTGAGGCCATGCTGCCTGAACCTCTCTAGGACTGCTCGAACTCTCTGGAAGAGTTGGGGTCTGTTCCTGGCCGAGACTAAGATGTCATCGAAGTAGGGTACTACTCCAGGAAGGCCCTGTAAAATCCGCTCCATGAGGGATTGAAAAATGCCTGGGGCAACACTTACGCCAAACTGGAGACGCTTGCACCGGAAGGCACCCCTGTGGGTGACAATGGTCTGAAGTTCTGCCGTTTGGTCATCAACAGGGAACTGTTGATATGCTTGAGACATGTCCAATTTGGCAAAGATAGTGCCAGGTTCAAAAGTATGTAATAAATGCTGAATGACGGGTACTGGATAAGCGCTAACTTGCAAGAATTTATTGATTGTGGTCTTGTAGTCTGAGCAAATTCTCAGGCTACCATCTTTTTTGAGGGGTGTGACGATGGGCGTCTCCCATTTGGCGAAGTCTGTAGGCTCCAGGATCCCTTGTTTTAGTAATTTATCTAATTCAAGGTCTAATTTAGGCCGAATGGCGAATGGAACTCTGCGAGGTTTTAACCGAATTGGGACTGCCTGGGGATCGACTGAAAATGAGATAGGGGTGCCGTTATAACACCCTAACTCATCACTGAATACGTCTGAGTAATCAGCAAACAGGGAGTCCGTGTCAGAGGTTGAGGTAGCATGGACTCCTGTTAGCCCTAAACCGAGGTGGGGAAACCAATCAAGTCCCAAAAGTGTAGGGAGGTTGCCGCTCACTACCACTAGAGGTAGGTGGCCCTTAAAGGTTTTAAAATTAACAAAAAACTTGCCTCTGCCGATTACAGGAATGGTCTTCCCCTGGTAGTCCTTTAGGCTAAGCTGGCACTTCTGGAGTCGGTTTTTTGATAGGCTGGGTTGAAGCTCCTTGAGGGTGTTCCAGGAAATAATGGAGAGCGCTGACCCCGTGTCAACCTCCATGTTGCAAGGTTTACCTTCTAATAAGACGGAAAGAGAGATTTTACTAATAGAATAGCAAGTGTGATTAGCGCAGAGGTGTGTGCGACAGTTTAATACTTGCCTTTGGGGCCCGGCATGTGCGAATGAAGATGCCCTTTGTGCTACGTTGTGTGAGGCTTGGCATACTCTTGCAATGTGCCCCTTCTTATGGCAGTTGTTGCAAGTGGCTCCTTTGAATTTGCATGTGGTCCTCAGGTGAGGTCCACCACAGGAAAGGCACAGGGTGATGTGCTTGGATGGCCCGGTGTTATCTTGTCTGGTTCCTGCCTGCGGGCGCCTGGCGTTTGTGAGGCGGTGAATGTCGGCCTCGTCACTTGGGTCTTCCTCGTTGACCACCTCTTCTGAGT